CTTTATGAACCACCCTTCCGCACAATATTGTGTTTTTTCTTCGCTATCGTTTTATGTAGAACGTTGAAATTTCGAACACTTACTCGCTAAATCACCTAAACAAATTGAAATCTGAAAATTTCACATGCCTTCCTTTAAGGGGAATTTTTACTGTTCATCTGGACTGCCCCAAGGGCAGTCCAGATGAATAGTAAAAATGGTAGCAGTTCGAGAAATACGATGACCATTATTTGTAAATAATGCCATATAACCTTTTGGCATACCATGGATACAAAACCTAGCATTAAAATGGATTTATTCACTCCGTTCCCTGCGTTGAAAGACTCCTGTCGGTCACCAATGCATCTTGTATTTAAATGTTGACTATAGGATACCAGTTCAGCACTCGAATTTCTTTTACACCTTTGTAACCGGTAAGGTGATGATGTACTCGCCAAACGACTCCGAACAACCTCTGCCCGAAGGTAGCGAACCAACTTCTATCTACTTCATGGATGGCTTCCTTCCTTTGAAACTTCATAAGTGATTCCTCCCTATTCCGTCAATCTTGCCAGTAACTTGTTAACTCTTCCTCGCCGTCCACTTTCAATTTTTCCTATCATGGACTTTGGTTTTCTTTTATTGTTCGTTTCCAATCACTCACCGGATTCTGTTTTGTATCTGAACCGCTGTCAGCCGGAGTGCATTGCACAATTGCGGAAGGGTTTGGAGCTCAGATGAATAGCAGGAGAACAATTTGACTTCAGGACACTTGCAATCCGATTGAATACCACCCCCAAAATCGCTGTTCGGCATCGACTATCTTTTTGGTTGTAACCCTCGAGACGGAATGGACAGAAAGTTGATTGCAACAGTCCTTGCCATTCACTCCTGTTGCAATACATCTGTTATTCCATCCAGCGTTTACATAGTCGAAATGTATCCTGTCTCCAATGCTGATAACCTCAAACCCAGTCAGTCAAGAAAAGCTTTATGCACCAAAAGGGTGAATTTTCAGCAATTTACGATTTTTACAATGGATAGATAAAACGAATTGCAAACAAAAAAGGCAATATAAGAAATTTTGCACTTCAGAAATGAAAGATTAATGCGAGAGTTTTTCCCTGAGATGAGAATATTCTGACGATTAACCGGTAACCGAGCAACGTATGGAATTACACTGTTTTGGAAGTCCGCGCAGAAAGGAGTTGATATTTGGAGCCAGTTCGGGGATTTGACAGGGCTTTCGCGATATCTTGGTGCAAACAATGCCCTTGATCACGTGTTATCCTGTCTATGAATGTATGACAAGCGTCAAGATGCTTCGAACTAAAGAAATCAACTCCACTGTAACGGGACAAAAATTTAAGAGATTTCGAAAATAGTGAAGTTTTTCTTTCAGTTCAGGGATATAAATAAAACCGTGATATTGTTCAATTTACCTAGCCCAACTGATACCAGGGTTATGGCTCACTAGTAGACTGATAATCCTGTCCGATACGTTGACACTATTGGCTAGAAAACGAAATTAATCAAAATTTGCGAACTCTTATTAGGTTGCTATTATATCACAGAACAGTAACTGATGAAATTAATGAAATGGCTTTAGAGTTGCTTCAGAGTTCCATTGAAGTAAAGTCAATTTCTTATGCGAATCTAGTGAGTATTCTGCTTGGTAAGTGTTAAAATTTCAAGGTTCTCCGTAAACTGATGGTAGAGATATTGAAAAACGTGAGAAAGAGGGACGATCTTGGAACTGTTTCACACTCTTTCCAAGCTCCTGATTTTTGTTCGGAATAAGAGTTCGGTTGGCTGCTCGTTAGCCCCTTATCCTGTGGTACCCTCATCCTGTTATGTAAACCGCTTTATGCTGAATTACTCCACGGAATAGATCATCCACCTCAGTCTATCAGAGTTATCACAGATAAAGAAGAGACTATTACGGGTCAGTGACTTTAGAGGCTTCTTTGGGGCATACAGGTGTACAGCAAGTACAATATCATCCGCATATTTGTATCTAACAAATTTTGAAGTAATAAGAAATTCACTGACATAAAATGAAAAGAAAAATGAGGAAAGAATGGCGCCTAGTAGCACTCCTGACTTCATGGAAAGAGACATAAACTTGTACTGTGGAATGAGCGCGATCAGTAAAGTCAATCACGTATGATTAGAAAATGCCCGGATTTGCATCTATTTCTGAAATATGCTAAGCAAAGGGGTTTATCAAGCACACCAAAGCATTCTCGTAGGTGCTTGGTCTTACACTTCCAAGCCAGGGACGAGGCTGTGAAGTTTATCAAGTATGTGACGCGCGACTGTCTGTACGCAAACTGGTATCTGTCACCGCTACAGAAACAATTTTGGATGAAAGTGTCTCAAATATCTTCAACATCACAGAAGCATAGGCTACGGGACTTTATTTTCCAGTCGCGTATTTTGCGACGGGACTCTTTAGAATGGGTCTCTATATGTCAGCAATCCTACCACTGGACACAAGGATTGCAGACACCGAGTAAAG